TAAAGATATCACAGGTATGATTTGCCATTTTTCAGGCTAAATGAATGTGTTTGTTTCTGTAGGGCCGGGCTGGAGGGCAGAGATCCGACCTGCGGATCACCCTGTGGCCGACTTCGACTTTGATGTGGTGGTGGGAGCTGATGGGAGACAAAACTCTTTAGAAGGTATAAGCCCAGATGGGTGGAGATGATGCAATTGCTGCTCAATCACCATTAAAGAACTGCTCATGAGAAATAAAATATGTATGCTGTGCTGAATTACATATATTATGCAGACTAAAATAAACACACATGCAGCCCTTTGTTTGCACAGTAACTAAGAGGCTATAATAATCTTTGTTCTACGATTACAAACTGTTCTAGCAGTAACTAAAATGATACCTACCTAAAATATGATGGCATGTACATGAAAACAGCATGTCATATGGTCTTTCAAATAATGTAACGGCACACTTCTCAACAAGTCACACAATTTGAGGTATCATTCACGTCTAGAACACAAACGGTGCAGGATGGGTTATGTGCCAAGAATGTGAAAGAATATGAGTAAAATGGCAAATATAGGAATAGTTCACTCAAAAATGAAAATTTTCTGAAAATCTACTCACCTTCACTCACTCTTATAACAAGGATTACAGATCATCTGGACAGATTTGAATGTTTGGAATGCCGTGTTTACCAATGGATCCTCTGCAGTGAATGGGTGCCGTCAGAATGAGAGTCCAAACAGCTGATAAAAACATCACAGTAATTCACACCACTCCAGTCTTATAATGTCTTGTAAAGTGAAAGCTGTTGTGATTACTTGTGGGCTATAGTGATATTTTTATCAGCTGTTTGGACTCTCATTCTGACGGCACCCATTCGTTACAGAGGATCCATTGGTAAACACGGCATTCCAAACATTCAAATCTGTCCAGATGATCTGTAATCCTTGTTATGGGTTTTCTATCATTAAAATAACCTCAGCAACTCTTAAAATGTGCCCCGTGCTCTTGGCCGAAGTCCCTAGAATGGATTGTTTTATCCAAGAAGGTTATTAAGTCATAAAATCATGTTGTAAAGCGATACTGCATGATGTCACCAGCCACCCACCGGTTACATATGAGATCAGCGAGTCAACATGTGCTCTTGAGGAGCTCTCAGGGTTTCTGAACACTTTTCAGCTGATGATGCGAGTCCGTTGGACTCTGTTTTCCAGGTTCGTCATCTTTTCACTTATCCCTAATCAAATGCTTTTTCCAAAAAAGGCCATTTGCTGTGCCTTCCAAACTATGAGATGTTAGCTCATTGCCCAATTATGAGTAACTTCAGGGAAAAAAAAGAAACCCAGTTTGTTTTGGACATTAAGTGAGCTAGTTCAAGACGTCTAGGGAGGGAAAGTTAAATTTATCCCATTCTGAGGCAGAGCAGCGGTCAGGCGAAAGCAGCTGGATTTTGACTGAAAAGCAGACGACGAAGAAGAGAACTGATGCCTTAGTGAATTAACAACATGGCAGTAATGGAACAGTTCTGGCTCTTAATCAAATCGGTGTCTGTTCGTAGAGAAGCTCTGTAGAGCCTCATGCATTATTTTGCAGGATGAGAAAGCAGAGCCAATTCTCCTCGAGCCAAGTCAGCCCACTCAACAGCCATTAAAAATGAACAGCTTGTGCCATTTTTGTCAAATTTGGATGAACTTATTTGTCATTAGTATTTAGTTCTAATACATCAAGACACTGTGTTCCGTCTTTTTTTATAACCGAGCTCTAACACGTCTTAATCAGGCATAATGCAATTAAAAAATATATATTTTCTGAGTCAGAGTTTGTCCAAAAAAAAAAAAAAAACCTGACAAACAATGAGAAACAGAATATTTTGTCGATCTCTTGGGACTCTATTTTTGAGTACAAATATTCTGAAAAGGCAGTTTTCGCCTTTCATTTGTTGTGCAGATCAATCTCTCTTTATCAGAAGAGATTTGCTTGACAGACTCTGTATATACATATTCAGCGATTTTAAAGGGATAGTTCACCCAAATATGAAAATTGTCATCATTTTCAAATTGTGTTTGTGATGTCACCAAATTCCAGCATCTCTATTTTACCTGTCAACATGCATTACAGAAAATAATGTTTTGAAAGGTCCTCACTTTGAAAGGCATTTTCAAAAATCTCAGTTTTCAATGACTAACTGTAAAATGCTGCTAATGTGTGGAAAGAGGGCAAAATGTAGAGAAAATATTTTTAAACGCATTTTATTTCTGTGGACGGGACCTTGGTAGGCCAGCCACTATGAAATATCACCCCATAACTATTGGCCCATAACTGTACATTAAACGTCAAATCAAGCGTTATTTTTGTGTCATTGATATACCATGTTTGTTAATATTTCGAATTTGATTTGATTTTTATATATTATGCTTTAATTTTTAATTTTAGTTTTAGTAATTTTGTTGTGTATTTTTGTCATTTTATTATTATTATTATTATTATTATTATTATTATTATTATTTTAAATACTGTATGTCTATGTAGTTTTTTTTAATAAGTTTTAGTTGTTTTAGTACTGCTCAAGTCAAACTAAATGAAAATGAGAAATGTTGCCTTGGCAAGTTTTTTAAAAATATAAAATTATTTCAGTTAATATTTTATTTCAAGTAATGAAAATTGTTTTTATTGTTTTAGTTAGCGATAATTATCCCGGTTGCATTTATTTACATAGCTCTTTATACAACTCGGATTGTTTCAAAGC